CCCTTGAAGAGTTAATTTACACATTTGGGGGACCTTGGTTATTTTGTCTTCTACTTATGGGTCTTCTCATCCTCTTAGCACTGGTGCTTAGTGTTGCACGAATGAAATTTGTTGGGGTTGATGAATTACCAGGCCCAGCTCCCACCCAGCATGGCTCTCAGATAGATCATTCTTTCCCATTCCTGGAGTCATTGAATGAGGTTGTTTATAATTCCTGTTTTGGTTCTCTTTATGATGTCAAAGAACACCTGGCTTTCTGTGCTGATATTTGTATTGTTGATGATATATTTTTCCCCATGCTAAGTTATCAATTCCCTTGTTATTTTGCCCACCGTCCCCTTTGGTTAACTTCAATTGTACCCTTTTTTCTCCTTTTTTTTTTTGTCCTTTTCAGGTATTGGAAACCAATAGGGTTGAGGAGTCACAGAGTCATGTGCACAGAATGTATTTCATGGGTCCTAATACTTTCAGTGAACCTTGGCATCTGCCCCACACTCCTCCTGAAGAAATAAAAGAGATTGTGTGAGTATTGCAATGTTTTCTGTTGAATTGCTTCTTGTACACTTGTGCTGTACGCTGGATTTGATTAATGTATGATTTAATCAGAATTGTTACGCATTGACTTGATTTCCTTGACCTGGCAGATATGAGGGTGCATTCAACACATTTGTGGATGAGATTAATTCAATAGCTGCTTACCAGTGGTGGGAGGGTGCAATTTACACCATTCTTTCTATTCTTGTGTATCCTCTTGCTTGGTCATGGCAGCAGTGCCGCCGGAGAATGAAATTACAACGATTACGTGAGTTTGTTCGATCAGAATATGATCATGCTTGCTTACGTTCTTGCCGTTCGCGGGCTCTCTATGAGGGGCTTAAGGTCTCTATTTACTTCTGTTCTTGGTTTAATTTGTTCTCTATTATGGCTTCATCTTACTTGGTTTGCATCTTGTACCTGGTCTAGGTTCATCTTTGCTTCTGCTTTTCTCATCATTGTCTTTGCCAGACATCATTTTTTGAAAACCAACTATGTAGACATGTCAGAGATGGATGCTATTTATGCCTGAACTCATTCTAGTTTGAGTGTTGAACAGAGTCAGAGTCACTGAAATAAAGTTTGTCTATATATCCTTCCAAACCTATCTTATTTACTATCCTGAAATTCGCATCAATTCTGGAGGCTTTTTTCTGCTCAGTTTGTTTTATAAACGTGTTTAAGAAATAACAAGAAGTTTTTTCTCAATTAAAAAGAAATCAAATTAAAGGACTGATTTAATGGCTCCTATGGTACATGGTTAGATGGGTACTATATTTTTGGAGGAAAAATTGTTACCCTATGTGCTAAGTGCTAAATCAGTTGAGTTACTGCTATATCTGGCATTATAGTTGCTTTTGAGTCAATGAACACTAAAGAAAAGAACAGATGAACAGGACTTACAGTGTCAACTTTTTGGGATTTACACATTAATTTCTAAGATTTGAACACTTTTTGATCTATGATACAAGTGCTGCTAAAGCATAATTCTCGTGTGTTCCTTCAAACTTGAAATTTTGGTATTTGATCACTGTAGGTATCTGCAACTTCTGATTTAATGCTGGCTTATGTGGACTTCTTCCTTGGTGGAGATGAAAAGAGAACAGACCTTCCACCTGGCCTCCCTCAAAGGTTTCCTATGTCTATAATTTTTGGAGGTGATGGAAGTTATATGGCTCCATATTCCCTCCAAAATGATAACATTCTTACCAGTCTTATGAGTCAGGTTAGTTCTCATATTTTAGGTATGTACATTGGTGAAAGACATGGGTTTATCTTCCAAAATTTAGCTATAATGTAGTTCTTTTTATTGTTATACCTCTTACAGTTGGTGCAACCAACCACTTGGTATCGACTGGTGGCTGGTTTGAATGCACAATTGCGCTTGGTTCGTCGTGGACGGCTAAGAGTAACATTTCGATCTGTCGTCCAATGGCTTGAAACGCATGCTAATCCTGCTTTGAGAGTCCATGGTGTACGCATTGATCTTGCCTGGTTTCAGGCTACACCTGGTGGTTATCGCCAATATGGACTTTTGGTGTATTCTATTGAAGAGGAAAACGAGCCTATATCATTGGGAAATACTGATGGAGGAATCAGAACCGGGCTTCTTTCACGGTAATGTTTGTGTGTGTGTGTGTGTGTGTGTGGCGTGGCTTGTTGGCATATCTTGAACAGATGTTTGGTTTATTGTAGAAATATATCCCTGCGCAAGAATAGGATGACCTGTGGGGAGTATTTTACAGAACCTCTAGGATCTAAAGTTAGCAAGTAATTTTGCTTGTATTATATGATAGAAAGAAAGTCAAATTTCTGAGTTTCATATGTGTATATACATGTGTGTGTGTGTGTGTGTTCGCATATGATGGAATTGTTTGATGCCTAATTATATGTAATTTTAACTTGGTTGCTTTCATATTTGCTTCATAGTGTGAAGTCTACATACCGGCAAAATCAATCTGGTCATCGAAGAGAAGATGCACTTTTAACCCAAGGTCATCAAAGCAGTGAAGGTTTTGCAAGGCGGAAGAGGAGTTACAGAGGGCTTATAGATACTAACAGCTTACAAATGCTTGAAGAGAAGAGAGATATGTTTTACCTTCTCTCTTTCATAGTCCATAATACTAAACCTGTTGGTCACCAGGTAGCTCACATGAATTAACGAGTTATATTTTTTTTTTTACTTGTAAATTATTTACGAATCTATATCATTCACTTATCACCTTGTTTTATGTTGCAGGATCTTGTTGGCTTAGTCATATCAATGCTACTTTTAGGAGATTTTAGCTTAGTGTTGCTTACTTTCCTCCAGTTGTATTCAATATCATTGGTGGATGTCTTTCTGGTTTTGTTTATTTTACCTCTTGGCATTCTTCTTCCGTTTCCTGCTGGCATAAATGCTTTATTCAGTCATGGTCCAAGGCGTTCTGCAGGTCTCGCACGTTTCTATGCTTTGTGGAATATAACATCCTTGATTAATGTTGTAAGTTCCTGTACTTTTTAATCACCATTTCACTAGATAAACATGCTTTTTTTCCTTTTGTCTTAGTTTTCTACAATTCCTATAATAATGAATTTCTATTTCTTTGGATTTTATTAATTGCTGAGGTCAACAATTAAGCAGACCTAATATTATTATTTAAATTGTCCTTGGTAGGAGTGAAAGAGTGTGGGCAGTATAGAGGTAAATGGAATTTCTAGGTACAAATGAAATGTTGGTAGGCCAGAAGAAAGGGGTCTGGGGAAGGGGAGATATAAGAAAGTATATAGGGAAGACATAACTTACAAAAAGGGTTGATACTGGTGAATCGTAATAGCATTTATTCCCCCCATCTTAGTCATGGACAAAAAAGGCAAGAACTTCCCCCCAGCCCCCATTTCTCTCTCTCGTATCAAGGAATATTAGATGGCAAGATGAATTAATCTTTTAACTTCTCAACTCTATCTTTTTACTCTAATATTTTTTGTATTCTTAGCTGCTCCAAGTATTGGAAAGTAGTAACCTGCCTTCTGTTTGAATCAAAATCTGTGGTAATCATCATCTCATCCTTTGCCAGGGTGTTGCATTTCTTTGTGGATATATTCACTATAAAAGTCAGTCATCATCAAGTAAAAGGATCCCGAACATTCAGCCATTGAATATTAACATGTAAGTTAATGTATTAGGTGCAAAGGAATTTAACTGTGATACCATTCTTGCGTAACATTGGTGTGTATCTCCTTGGTGTGGTTTTGGATGCAGGGATGAAAGTGAATGGTGGATTTTTCCAGCTGGACTGGTTTTGTGTAAACTTTTCCAATCACAACTTATAAATTGGCATGTTGCGAATCTAGAGATTCAAGACCGCTCATTGTATAGTAATGATTTTGAGCTATTTTGGCAGTCATGACCACCATGTCAAAGAGATACTTACACATTAACAAGGTTCTTTTGTTCACTTCTTTACTGTTCTATTTTTTGTATGTAATTTGAGAGGAACAACTGAGTTCTTGACATACAAGTAGAAATAGAAACAAAGGGGAAAAAAAGAAAAAAGCAAGAGATAGAGTGAGAAGGAGATTCATTCATGTAAGCTCTCACGTTTTTCCTTTCATTTTGGGAGTTCCAATGTATATAACGAATTGGAGTACACTAATGCTTTAAAGAATTCATTTGTATATCTCTTCGGTGCTAAGTTTGTCATATTGTTCTACCTTTTGAAGCTTCTTTACGGATCCGGGCATTATTGCTAGTTATAATACTATCTGATCCCAGCATGGTGCATGCAATCCTTCTGAAGTTGAATAGCTAATACGTTTTAAAGATTTAGCTTGGATCTTGAGGTGAACTGTCTCCTCATCTTAAATATAATTGTATAATTTTCTTAGTGAAAAGACAGGTCTGAATTTCGAAAGTGCTGTTCCAGCAATGTTCATAAATTTATCATCTATATCGATCTTTTTCAACCAAGGAAGACAATCTTATGGCAGATTTTCTCTTGATATAGCTCTGTTACTTAAGCTAGGTAAAACCAGCGGGTAAGAACTTGTGCCAAAGTTCAAGTTTCTAGCCACCCATTGTAACACTGACATACCAGATTAAGAGTCGGTCAAACTAAAACTGTAACTAAACTAGGAGGTAATATCAGATACAAGAAGCATGTCCACCAAACCCGAAAAGAAGGCAAAACAAGAACTGGCACAAGGCTACAAGCATTTGTTGAAGCTAATACCCTTCTCAAGATGACTGATTAAGGCAGCATCATATTCAACAATTTGTTTATTAATGAAAATGTCTAGGAAACTGCTTGTCGTGTCAAGGGCTTCAGGAACACTCCAATGAGGAAAGTGTAAAGACATTGGTTACTAGACAAGGGCAAGTTTCCTTCATCATGGTAGCCGCTCTTCCCTTATAATCGCCATTTCTATGCGCATGAATGGTTCCACTAAGTTCTGCCTATACATACTCAGAATTTAACTCATCAAAGTGAACAAAAAGCATAATCTTTCAGAGAAAAGTGTGCCGGGAACACGTATCAGTTCATTGCCAAACATTACAAAGAGGGATATCAGTGGGGAATTCATCTCCTCCAAAGCAATATAAATGAGAATTTGAGGCCACTTACATACATGAAATTCTTAGGGTACTAAAGACAATACTGTGGTGCCCAAACAGTCTTACTCCTTGTTCAATACTTTAGGAACTTTGATATACGGCTCCTCATAGCTTGGAACATACGCTATCAGTGCTTCCCTGTTGAGTAACATATTTAAAGTCAAAACACTCAGAATATAACCTAGTGTAATATTGAACTCAGGAACTATGGTGCATCAAACTATTTTCATCTCACTTATTCTCAAATGTTTCAGGGACATCTTCACGCAAATTATCACCTTCAGTGTCTGCAAATAAAACATAGCATTGACAAAACTTGTTAAGAGGGTAATATCTAGTTACAGAACAGGAATGGTACTACGCATTAGTCAAATACACAAATGGTATTCCTACTAGTTTCTCCCTTTGTTAAGATATGCAACTATAATTAGCATTTTCTTTTTTGTTGGGCTGCCTCCTTAACAATACAACACCACCGTTTAGAGTTTGACACTGAACTACAATTTGGCCTAATAAAGAATACTGCCTACCAAAACTTTGAACTTGGAAAACTCAAATGGGCAAACCAACTGTTTAAAAACTACCCTTCATTAATATGCTAGAAAACACCTCAATTACATTATCTCAATTTTGATGCAACGCCATATTTTACTTCTGCTACAAACACATATCACAAATGTATAGCACAGTGGCACCATTAACTAAAAAGGAAATACCAATTTATATGAGTGAGTTCTAAGTACCAGCTCTAATAGCGGGCTCCACACTGTCCAGATCAACAGCTTGAAGTTGCCCAAACCTGCAATAGAGAACCCAAAAAGCAAACAGAAAATTTACCGGTTACTTTTACCATTTTCAAGTTGTAATATTATTAGAATAACATCCTCTCACTAATAAAATGGAGATTATAATCATTAATTAAAGTATATTCTTCGACATACATCGAGCATAAATGCATAATCAATACCAATTTCTTAAAAACTTATCCTTATAAGAATCATGGGATAGCCCAAGAAATAATGGCAGCTAAAACCCCTAATAAAAACCAAAACCCAGCCCCCATTTTGTTGAGACATCTCCAAATTATTATCAATATTAACTGATTTGAGTTCAATTTGGTTCTGAACTATCCTTTATGAGAAGATTACCAGTCTATCACTTGTCGAATTTTGGGAGCAAATTCTTCAACCTGAAACCAAACAAAAGAAAGAGTTGAAGATATCAAGTTAAACAATAAAGAAATGAGTAAGTGAAATAAAAATGGAGGAAAGTAGTGAAAGAAACCTCATTTGGGGCGAGTGAAATACGAGCTGTTTCAGCCAGACGAGGCACATCCGGTGGCTGCAAAGACGACCTCGTTTTCGTGGAGAACTTTCGTATTGTGGGGCTACTCTTAATAAGGTAAAAGGGTTTTGAAGAAGAATAAGCAGAGCTGCTTTTAAACTTGAAGTTGGTGAGCACCAGCAAAGCTCTGCTCCCCATTTTTTTGCCGTGGGTTTACGGATTGCAAGTGATCCCTGCCATACTTTGCTACGTTATCGACCGGTAAATACGACGTCGAAGTGGAAGGGAATTGTTCTTACCCAGCCTCAGCCTGACCGGAAACACAGTACGAGACCCGCTTATGCTTTTGTTAATTTGGTATAAACAGAAGATAAGAGCCCAACATAAAAGCCATGCTTTTAGCGGGCCCGCAAATAGAACAGAATTTCTATACCTCAATACAAGCAAATGTGGTCTCAATCTAAGAGGGGAGAGACCCCTTTTGCCTGTTTGTTCATTAATATTTATAAATGAAGCTAAATTTTAACAAATTTCACTAAGCAAATGCATTTCCCCTCTCTGTTTGCTTTCACTTCTAATAACAAAACTCAACTATTCGTGGGATTACATCCTGACTTTTTCGGTTTCATTACATGTTAAAAGGAATAAGCACGTGATATTTACAAGAAGTCCACTATACAAAATCAGCCTTTGTTAGGATCTCCTGCATCGTGAGCCACAGCGCTCTTTTCCCCTTCATTCTTACAAGGATGTAGTTGTGGAGCCACAGAGAAGCTCCTTTGACCCTCACTGGACGGAGGAAGTGGACTGGTGGAATGTCTGCTTTCACCCTCAGAGAGTAGAGCAGGTGGCACTGAGGTCACTGGAGCAGCCTCTGCTTCACTGCCTCCACCATTGCTTGGTACTTCTTTGCCGCTACTAATGGCTGAAAATTCATCATAGGTTGTATTTGAGAGTTGGGGAAAGTAGCCATGGAGTGTTGGAAATGGTAATAACATGAAGATAAGAAAACATGGCAGTTTGATAAAGCCAATTCTGAATTATCTCTAATCAGATGAAACGTTATTAGCTAGTAAAGTTGGCATTTCCACGGATAATAACAGCAGTTAGTCTACTAGTCACCAATATGTTTGAATGAACAAAATAAACGATTGCTTGAGTAGCAGAAATAACCTGTATGACTGGATACAGCAATGCTAATGTTTGTATTTTGTGGTGCTGATGAAGTTGCAGCCCCTCTTTTCATCTTCAACTGCGGAACAAAGAGAAACTGATTAGTTTTGTTTTCAATGGATATTCTGAAGTGAAAAAAGTTAAACCTTTGATCATGTTTTTTGTGTAATATTTTCATTCTTGATGTACTTAAGAACTAAGGTACCACTCCCTTAACTTCAATATCAAGGCACTACAAATCCTCTAAACTTCTCACTCTAAGATAAAAAGTAGGGAAATAGAGAGACAGAGAGAAAGACTAACATCTTAGAAACAAAGTTTATCCCGCAAAAAGACAATCTGTGTTCTAGCACTCTAAAGAAGTTCCCAACTTAAAGCATGTCAACTTTCATACCTTAGTATTTTCTTCACAATGCTTTACAACAACTGAAATGCTGGCATAGCGGCCATTCAATAGCATATAAGCCCACAACAAAAGCTTCCTTGGAATGCTTAAATCAAGAGTTTCAGCCCCTTCCATAATTGATGGAAATTGCTTTTCTTTTACTAGTTGAGATGGCACCAACCAAAGGTTGACACCAGATGGGAGCATTACACAGGAGCTCTCTCGATAGAAATTATATGAACTTCTAAGCAAAGAGTTGGCGGTCTCCATATCTCCATCAGAAGCTTTCTTTATAATGATATTATTAATTTTTGCCAAAGTTGGGCTCCATTTTGTTTGAAGACTTTCGAAATGAGTTGAGTCCTCAAATGATGAACTCCATATTTCATGTGTCTGCAGATCAATACAAAGCTGCTGGCTGCTTTCCATGGCACCATCTATTGAATTAAGAGTTTGAACCTCAATTGGGAATCCAGATTGCAGTGGAGTGATTGATGCCAAGCTATATATAAGAGATCGACACCAAGCAACAGAGGCATGCCTGCAAACTTTGGCACAGTTACTATTTGACAATTTTGGATTCTTGAACCGCTTTCGGATCCTCTCGTTTATTGCTTCAAGTATTTCCAGTTTGCCATTTCTTTCCAGGGACACAATATACTGGTGAAGATACCTAAGTCAAGTTAATCAACTATTAGTATTTTGTGAAAAGTAATGACACTTTTAGTTCTATTATGGGTTAAAGGGTAAACAGTGCAAATTGCCTTGTTAAGCAAAGGCAGAATCTACTGTATTATTTATCATGATATTTAAAATTCCTAAGCAACAAACTCAGAAAACATGTGTTACCCATATAAAGTGCTCTCAGATATTTCTGAACCCTTAATCTCAGGCAAACAGCAGATCTCAGGCCATAAGGTACCCTGTTCCATAAACAAACCAAATATCTTCTCTAGTTGATGCTCAAAACTGATGGCAGCATCAGCACCAGCAGGCTCAACTTGCCTCATGGATAAAACTAGAGCCTTGATGTGCCTTCCAAGTGCCACTGGTACAAGATCTTCAATGCACAAGGAGAACTAAGTGCAAA